CTTACCAAATGGTTGTGGAGATACAATTTGGAAGATCAAGCTCTATGGAAGGAACTCATTCAACACAAGTATGGTCAGGAAGGTCAATGGTGTTCAGAGGAAGTGACAAAAATATATGGTGTGGGAGTATGGAGGACTATAAGAAACCTATGGCGGGCTTTCAAAGACAATGTAAGGATAAAGGTTGGCTGAGGGAACAAGGCTTTATTTTGGAAGGAAGACTGGACTGGTCAAGGGTCCTTGGAAAATTTATTCCCTGGGCAGTTTTCCATTTGCCTGAATCCTGATAGCAAAATACAAGAGGTTTGGTCTCCACAATGATGGAATTTGCTTTTTAGGAGATTTCTTAATGACTAGAAATAGAGTGGTATCAAATATGCTAGCTTTGATTGGAGATTTTCCTGGCACAAGGCATCATACTGATGGTTAATTCTCTGTGACCAGAATGTATAAAAGGGATCTAGCCACAATTGCAGGGAAGAAATCAGGGCCATGGAGTATTATATGGAAGAGTGTAGCCCCTACTAAGGTGAAGTGTTTCACTTGGTTGGTAACCAGGAGAGCTTGCTTGACACATAATAAACTTCAAAAGAGGGGAAGAATTATTGCCTCAAGATGTTATCTTTGTAAAGAGTCTCTAGAAACCAAGAACCACATGTTCCTCCACTGCAAAGTAACAACACAAGTATGGGCTCTGTTCACCAATTTAGCTAGCCTAAATTGGATTATGCCAGAACATACAGCAGACCTACTAAGTTGTTGGGTCAGAAAGGGAGGTAGTAAGAGCTAGAGAGGTGGTGGAGAACAGTACCTGCTTGTATCCTGTGGACCATTTGGAAAGAGAGAAATCAGAGAATTTTTGTAGGGAAAGAATGCACTATAGAGAAGATTAAATGGAAAGTAATTACCACTTTAGGTTTTTGGAGTAAAGAAATGAACATAGAAGAAGAAATTCAACTAGTGGATTTCATAGGAGCTTTGTAAGTAGTCCTGTTTTCTTTTTGTTGTTGTTGTTTCTATGTAACTAACACTTTTGGAGGTGGCCAGCATACCCCTTAATGCTGAGGAATACAAAGTTACCAGTTTAAAAAAAAAAAAAAAAACTTGCCCATTTCATGTTGTTCATCAACTCTGTCTCCTCTTCAGTAGCTATCCAACTACCACGAAGTTGTCCAATTTCCTCAAAAAAATTGGTGCATCCAAAGGTGTAGAGGAACACCCAGGACTTTCATCCAAGTTTCTTTGTGTTAGAATAGGAATAGGTTTGTACAATCCTATTAGAAAAGGAATATGTTTATACAATCCTATTAGAATAGGAATAGGAATAGAAATAGAAATAGGAATATTAAATAGTATCCTACTTGGTAAAGGATTGTATTCTAGGGTCTATAAATAGGGTTTCAATGTAATAATGCACACAACAACAATTCAATAATATTTTTCTCCTATATTTCTCACATGGTATCAGAGCCTCTACAATCTTGGCAAACAATCAAAGAGCTTCCGCTGCCGGCGGGTGGCTATTATCCATATATGTCGCCCGTCTGGCCAACGATTATGTTAACAAAAGTTGGGTCACCGTGTATCTTTCCGGTGACTATTTTCTCATATCTAATTTGTGTAGCACCATGCCATCATTCCGGTGACTACTTTCTTATATCTAATTTGTGTAGTACCATGTTATCATTCCGGCGACTACTTTTTCATATTTAATTTGTGTAGCACCATGCTATCATTCTGATGACTACTTTTTCATATTTAATGTGTAGCACCACGCCATCCTTCTGGTGACTACCTTTTTTTTGCATATCTTATTTGTGTAGCACCGTGCATCTCTCCGGACTACTTTTCATATTTAATTTGTGTAGTACCGTGGATTTTTCTGAACTATTTTCTCATATCTGAGTTGCATAGCATCATTTGTCTTTTCAGTGACTCCTCAGATTTGATTTGCATAGCTCCATTTGTCTTTCCGGTGACTCCTCAAATCTGATTTGCATAGGGTTGTGCCATCATTCCAACCCTACCCGTATAATTTTTCTTTTTCAGCAGGGTCGTGCCATCATTCCAACCCTACCCATATTATTTCTCTTTTTCAATGGGGTCGTTCCATCAATTCAAACTATCCTATATAATTTCTATTTTCTAGTTGGGTCGTGACATCATTCCGACCCTACCCATATAATTTTATTTCTTAGATTGTGACCATTTTTAGCCATCAAATCTCCAACCTACCAAGGCTTTACATAAACATACCTGTTATAAAGATTTCATAGCCCAATCACCAATATCAAGCTCTATCATTGCTACCGATACCAAATTAGAAGATATGATACATATCCTAGCCTTTTGAAGGCGAGACCTATTCCATGTATCCTCATCAACATATATATAGCCCCCAACTAGATCTCCAATTATTCGATAGGTATTTATAGCTCGTGCATGTAGTGGAATACCAAAAGCCTTGGCCCAACGCGGTTTTGGACCCTAATTCATCCACTCTGAGCCAACTATTGATGACCACCATTCTAGTGACAATTTCCTTCCATTTCACAACCACGCATCTGCTTTGATTATAGTAAATTCTTGCCTCAATTGGAAGTCAAAAAGGAAAGCATTGTATTTCAAGGTTCTTATTATGGGACAACACTAATTTGTCATCTATTAAGGAACCATCTTGTATCGCGTCAGTGTTGCACCGATATTGATGGAGCATGCAAGTTCACCCTCTTAATCCTTACATAATGACAATCATTAAAGTTCTGGAGAACATTATAAGTGTGAACTTACATATTCCATCCTCATCTTTTGCAAGATTCTCTTTTACCTGAGATGTTTGTTCCAGAGCATCACATACCCATTGCAAATTTTCTTGAAATATCCTAATGCACTCTATTAATGGGAACCATTTATTACCGACATCATTGATCTCTAATAACTCAAAAATTTTGACCAAAAACAAAGAAAGTTTATTGACCATCATTAAAAATAAATGCTAGCCAAGGAAGGACTACAAGAAAAGTAGTTTTTAGAAAGTAGACTAGGCCCATTTCCCGAGTCCCCCCCCCCCTTCTCTCTCTTTGCTTGTTTTTTTTTTTTTTATGGCAAGGGAAACCCGCAGCCGCTACCCTTTGGGTGCGCACAGGATAAAACCCCCGCTCCTATGCAATAGCTCGCAAACCACATAGGAGAGGTAACCCGCACTAGGCAAGTCTGGTGCGACGAGCTCGACCCAGAAGGCAAACCCCTTGCTTTCGCTGGCAAGGGGTTTCGAACTTGAGACCTCCAACATGGAAGTCCCAAGCTCAAACCACTGGGCCACCCCGAAGGTATCTCTCTTTGCTTGTTTTAAATCCCCCCTCCCCCCTTTTTTTAATTGTTAAATTTCCCCCTTTTGGTGCAATTACAATTCAAAAAGTATGTTTTAATACTTGGTGCTTACAAGTAATTAAATTCAACTAATCCAAACAAGCTCACATACCCATAGAGGATGGAGTGGCCAAGATGTTGGTAAGGAGATAGAGCAATTTTCAGGTGGGTAGAGTTTAAGTTTGTGAAATTGGGTTTAGAGTTTAAATGGATAGTGAGAGGTTTTCGTTTGAGAAACTCTAAAGAGATACTGAAGATAAGAGGCACCAATAATTGGAAATGAAAATCGTAAATGGTGGAGTGGGTTTTGAAGAAGGGACAGGCTTAAGTGAAATGCCCTTATCTCCTAGATTTAATAAAATTCCAAAAAATGGAAAGATGAACATGTTTGGCCTTGGAACCCAACTGTAAATAACATTACCATGACATTCAAAGGAAAGCAAAAGAAGTAAGAGAATATCACATATCCATCATAATGAGAAGTGATTAACATCCCCCTAACAAATCCAAGTTTTGTTTCAACCATTCAAATCAAGTGTCTTACATTATACCTTTCCTTAAGTTTGGACAATTCATGACCCGAAAGAAAAGAAAAGATTATCATTCCAGAGAAAGTTGTAAAATGATATGTCAGAGAAATGATCATTAAAAGATAAGATGAAGGGGATCGTAGCATGGGAAATAAGAAAAATGAAGGAGGGAAAGAAAAAGTGGGCGTTAGAGATCTTTCTTCTATTTCATTTTTTGATGTTCTAAATTCTAGTAGAGACAGAGACATTTGGTCAACTTCTTTCTTCTACTCTTCCAATAATTATGTCATAAGACAATTATGGAAACAAAAAAAATTGCTTAAAATGTGAACCTCTAAGAACGTGATGCCCAATCTAAGCTAGGGACCAATTCAAATATTGATTACACCATCTTAGGCAAAAGGTGCTAACCTTCTTTCCATGCCTCTTCTTTTTAACTCCACCATTTCTTTGAATTTGAAAGTGATTAATTAGTGAGTTTTCATACCAAGGCAAAATCCAATAATGTGTAGCATCTACTGATTTCACCATATCCCCTTTCTTTTTGCGCTGAGACAGTCTCATTAAAATGTTAATCATTTTCATTTATGCTGGAACCATTAAATAGTTCCACGCCAAATGTGTGTGATTTGTTCCTTTTACAAGTAACAAGCCCTCTAAACAAGTCATTTTATGTGAATCACATCTAATAAGGAGTCGAAATAAACTTTCAAAACAAGCACAAAGGATACAGTATTTCACCTTCCTATAAAAACCTTCTATAAAGGACACCAATATCAAATTCCCCAAGAAACAGTTCCACTGACAAATAACTTTATGACATTAGCAACCATCGCTAAAGAAAACGGAAGAATTCAATCATATACCACAATACAAAACTCATTAAAGTTGGCAATTCATCATAGTTTGACAAAATTTAAACAAATGCACCAGCTATGCAAGCTCACAAGCTAAGCTCGAGCTTCAGAATCAACCCAAAGGAACATCTTTTACCAAACAAAATTAACCAGCTAGAGCTTAATGAAAGGTGTAAAGCAAGAAATTTAATTTTTTTTTAAAGTAATAATAATAAGTTCAACTACGAGAGTAAACTGAACTAACCTGCATCGAGTTGTTGGTGCTAGAAGACTTCTCTTGAGCACCCATTGAAGCTTTTTAGATATTGAAGAAACCCCAATTTCACCAGGTGTTTTGATGATAGATTGAATTAGGGTTTTGAGTAAAAAAAAAGAAAGTATTGCGAAGAACCTAATTCAGTTATGAATTTGGATCAGTTAAAACCTACCCACTACTGATATCATATCAGTGAATCTTCGAAACTCGTTTTCTTGTCGATCTTCACAACTTGTATCATATCATCTCTCCATCTACAGTGTTCATACCCAGCTTTTGGAAATACTACAAGAGAAGTGCTTCGTTTGATTTTGTTGATGCCATTAATGCCCTTTGTTTCTAGTGAAAATAGCGGACACTGCCACTAACGGGGAATTATTTCGCTTTAAGGAGGGAAATTTACGCGCTTTCTTCCTTACTCCTGCTATCCGAATTCGAGTCAGACAAAAAATCAACAGAAAATTGTATAAAATAGCAAATTATTAATTTACATTAAATGTTATAATTATAGTTTATTTTAATTGTAATTCGCAGCAAACATCCCTTTTTTTGTCATCTGATTCGATATATAATTAGTCATTTTTATACATTTCGGTATAAAATATATAAAATGTGTTTGTGTTTGTATTGAGCGAGAGAAAAGTGTATATACAGATACAAATACATATATTTCTATCTTATACACTTATAATTATACAAATGCATATATTATTATACAAATTACAATATATAAATGAATTTATACAAAACTGAAAAATTTGTATAAAATTGGATGTTTATAGCGAATTATACAAATCAAAAGCTTCATAGCAAACATAAAATTTGTTATAGAGCGCAATTATGCAAACTATAACTATAACATGCAAATATGATTTTTATGTTTGATATATGTGAAAGTTGCTCAAAAATCAACTAGAGCAAACAAAGTTGGTTTTGAATCTACTTTACAACCATAAAAACATATTTAGTGAAATTTTACAAGTGATATTTAAGAAAGGTAGTTTTTTTTTTTTATATAATCGAGAAATCCGTCTGTGACCCACCCTTTGGACCAATCACAGCCTTCTAAACTCGGTTGATAATGGGTCAGCCCTTCTACCCTTCTCTACTTAAATATCGGGCATCGCTTTGCATGGTATAAGACTTGAACCTGCGACCTAAGCCACAAATCATCCACCTTTTGCCACTCGAGCTATGCCTTGGGGGCTATTTAAGAAAGGTAGATTGTACCCAAATTTTATTATTATTTACGACTCAAACTATCCCTAAATGTGATATGGCGAATAGAACCCTGAAAGACCCTAAACAAGTCACTTGAGATAAGCATTACAGTATGATATACAACATAAGAGAGTAAAACAAGAGAACAAGATATAAGTCTCAAAATCTTTAATAACATGGAAAATACCAAAATCAAAGTATATGATTGAATAAGCGGAACATAACACGAAAGCCTCTACTAATCATAGGTGTGGTTAGGACAAAACTCTCAGCTCATGAATAGCATATCTGAAAACTGAAATGACTGAGAGCAATAAAAGACTAATAATGGTCATGCCCTCGAACCATGAGAACTCACCAATCCACAAGAAAATGCTGAGCAATCCAACTAGCCAAGAGCAGATGGAGGAACGTCGGATCCTATATTATGAAACAATATAGGCACAAGAGATATATGCGTCAGTACTTTGAATGTACTGAATATGGGAATATGCATGATAACATAAACGTGATAACATGACAAGTTAAACATGATAATGCATAACCAAGTAAAATATATCAAAAGCATGATAAGCTAAAGTCATAAATCATGGAAACGAGGTCAATGCAATATAGAAGAATCATAACATATGTATAAAACATAAGATAAATAAGAAAATCATATCTTTTGTGGGATGTTTACCTTTAATTGGCATAGACCATATGAGTTATAACATGAAATTCGGTGTTTTACTCCCACACTGAAAAGAGATTGTCCTACTTGTCAAGGTAGGACCATGTTCTAAAGCTTAGGTGGATCCACTAGCTAGTTTGTCAAATTGGGACATCCTACGAGGGCATGTAGTTCAATAACTATGGAAATCACACAAATTCACTCGGTGTTAAGTAAACTCCCAATGAAAATCATTAAGTCAAAATATCATATTCCTATCTCTTTAGTCTTTGAAATGGTGAGAATCTAGTAACACCAACTTAATCATAAAGACTAAAAAAAATCATAAGAATAGCTCATTTCAAATACCATGATTTTATAACATAATCGATGTTTAAAAGACACTTAATCGGAAGCATCTAAATCATGATAATTTTTTCATAGTAAAAACACACTTTAATCAAAAGTGAATAAGTCATGAAAATCTTTCGTACTGAGAATACTTCAATCGGAAGCAATCTAGAATCATATTCACTACAATACATTTATGCATGCATAGTTTCAAAGCTCAATTCATGGTCAAAATAGGCATATAGCATGAGTTTATGTGAAAAACATTGAAAATGTGTAATTTCAATCAAATCATGTAAAACAAGATCAAACATAATCAATTGAAACATAATTAATCGAACCCATGAAGAATCATATAAACCCTAGAAATTGGGTGAAATCTTAAAGGAGAATTGAGGATTTCTTGGGCTAGATGGAAAGGAATCCATTGATGAATTTTCCGCATACCTTGGGTAATTAAAACTTTAGAATCGCAAGAGGAAATTTGAAGCTTGAAGAACCTAAGAAATTTCCTTGAGAGCCTTGGAGAGAATTTGGAGAAGATGAACTTGAGAGAACTTTAGGGTTTTGAGTGAATGAGAGGGAATGCGCAAATTTTGAAGAGTAAAATCAATCATAAAACGTAGTTATAAAGCCAAAATGACATAGTTTAGAAGTTAAAAGGATAGAAAAAGACTCAATAACCCTGACATAAAAACTATCGAAGGGACTCTACTACTGACCTACAGTCCGTACAAACTTCTACGGACTATCTAGGTCGTCCGTGGAACAAAGTACAGGAGACCAATATTTCAACCAAAAGCCATAAAACCCTTCCTACAGGTCGTAGAACTTTCTACAGCCCCTAGGTCCCTCACATAGAACTTCTGGCCCAAAAACCCTTTAAGTCCAAACCACTTTTCACGAACCTTGGGATACGGACCGAAGGACCTTGTACGGTCAGAAGTTCCAATCGTAGTCTTAAAGTAACCCAAAATCACTAACTCTGGATCTCCATCTATGGGCACTTCCTATGACCCCTAACACTACAAAAAAATAGCGTTTAGCGACAATCACATTTTTATCGTTGAATAACGATGGATTAGCGACAAAACAATGTGTATGTTGCTAAATAAATAAAAATAATATAAGCATCCACACTAATGAAAAATTTGCGACGAAAATAAATTTTTGTTGCTTTATTTGGGAGCTAAAAATTGCGCCTTTATTTTGTCAACGAAAACAGCGACGTAGGCAAGAGGGAGTTTTTTGTCAAAATTTAGCGACGGATGTAAGGACAATAAATTAGTCGCTAAACTAAAAAAATATATTGAAATTCTTAGCAATAAAATAAATCTTCCTTAGCTATTTATTCTTTAATAACAAATTTATATATAGCGACAGATACATATATTTCATAGCTAAAGTCGTTGCCACCAGCAATTAAATATTTGGGATATATCTATTGTCTTATTTTTCTTTCTACCAGAATCCTCTTCCAAAACCCTCTCTTCTGGAACAAGAGATCAACCTAACCCTTTCTTCAACAAGGAGTTAGATCTAATTCATCGTTGTGAGAGACCTTCGGCTAACCCATCAATACTTTTCCATTTTTTCACTCTTCTCGTTAAGACCATTGTACTATGTTAGAGACTTGAGACTTGGAGACCATCAGTACTGTTATAACACACGGTACCTAAATCGTTAATCCATCTTCAACAAAGAGAAATAGTTGCTTTATTCTAAGATTTTTAGGAATGTGAATCTATTTTTTAAGGTATGTGCCTGAAAAGTTGCTTTCTTCTAGGGTTTTTTCATATGCTTTGATTTTTATGTAAAATTTAGTTGGTTATAACTTTCATTCACCTGGGAATCTGCTAGGTATTTAGTTTAATACATCAGGAGATTTTGGTAGTTTTTTTTATGAAGTTAGGGGAATTCTGCTTGTTGAATTGTGTGATATTGTGATACTCTTTTAATCTAATAGTAATGCTTGTGACCTCATTTATGTTCGTGTCTTTTTAGTTGAGTTTGTAATAGTGCCTGAAGGGTTCTACCAGAGTTACTAGACGTTCTTTTGTTCTATTGAATTTTATTCACCTTTTATAGAATGCAAATTCAGTCACTAGCTTATGCTATGCATATTAAAAACAGAAAAGTAGTAATACTTGTAGCACAATATGAAAAAAGGAAATCTTATATTTGATTGAGATTAATCTTATTTTTCTGGTTTACCGTGGTAATTGAAAGTTTGTTAATTGTACTTTCATCTGGATTTGATAGTATGTACGTTCTAATTTATTGTACTATTGTTTGAGAGAGTTTGATTTCAACATAGTTTGTCATTTCCTCTTTTTAATCCTGTTTTGACCTATGATAGGAAGTTGTAGTGCTATCTCCTTCAATTTTACTTGCCTATCTTGTTGTTGCTATTGAAATCTTCTATAGTTCCTTTCAGTCCACAAGTGGTACACAGTTGCAATAAATAAAAAGTCTAATATCCTAGTGTTTGGTCTACTAAGTGTGATAAGAGATTCTAGACAATGCCCCTCTTTCTCTCAAGACCCAATTTGTTTAGTTATACACGATCAGTCAAGTAGGGACTGTCAAATATACCTAGAGTAATCACATTAAAAAAAAAAATTGAGCATGTGTTTCCTTAGCAGTGTTCAAGCACAATACACACTGTAGATCAACGTGAATGCCCCATTTAGTGATTTATCGATTGTGAATAGTTTGCGATACAGCGCCAACCATGGAATGAATTGATGTCTAGGGAGAATTTATCCAATGTAATTTCCTAAGAGAGGTCTAGGGAGGGTAGGATGTACAAAGACCATACCTACTTTGTCATAAAGAAGGTGTCTTTGATAGACTCTCAACTAAAAAATGTATTTATCAAGTTTATCGTGTAGAAAGATTTCATCTTTTTCATAGGCTTCAAGATATGTTCATTCAATTTATCTCTTAAGAAAACTTGATTTTAGTGGGCCTTTTTTATTTGACTTTTATATGCATCAATAGTTTGTCCTGATTTATCATAATTAAGTGTATCACTTACTACAACTTAATCTTGGTGAATAT